AATATATATATATATATATATAAAACACACATGTGTCGTGTGTTTTATATATATATATATATATATATATATATATATATATATACTTTAACAAAACACACACACATATATATATATATATATATATATATATATATATATACTGGTTTAGCTAAAAAGATGCATGCATGCATGCATGTGCGTGGAGGGTGGAGAGACTGTAAGAAGATAAGGAAACCGAGGGAACGTGTGGCTGAGCTTTTGACTTACACGTTTTTCTTTTTTTTTTTCTTTTCTCTTTGTTAATTTTTATTTACATTTATTTATACAAACTATGGATAAAATTCACGACCGCTTTCTACGATTTCCAGATTCAATGAAACATGATGTGGGCTTTTTTTAGAAATTCCTTTATTCTTTTCCCAACGTAAAAAGCAAAATACGATAATTTTTTTTTTACATAAGAGTCATTATTTTGAAATAAATCATATCCAAAAAATATGTAATATTTTGTTGGGTTATATAGTTCGGATTTTAATAATGAAATATTTATAGCATGCGGTTGATTATGAATTGAATGGTTTTGGTTGATGAAGGTGGACTATAAACGCAACAACATAATTTATGAAGATTTTCAATAGATGATGGTTATATTCCAACATCATCCGGAGAGTGAACCATATAATTTTTGGGACAGAATTAATTGGGCCGTTGGCATTTAATTCTTTTTTTACAACAAAAAAATGATTTCACGGTGTGTGTATATATATATATATATATATTATAATAAGCTACATTTAAATACATACATACGTGGACAAAATGTACAGTAATAACATTGTCCCAACATCACTGAAACTAATTTTATTTATTTTTAAACAATATTAATAAAAAAATTAAACTAATATATTTTATTTTTCTTAATTCATCCGATAATCAGCATTGGTAAATGTTGCCATTAGCAAAATTGGATAGATTTTTGGTCCCCGCAACAGACTCACACATCTCCACAGACTCACACATCATGACGACGACTACGAGTTACTCCATCCGTTTCAAAATATTTGTTGTTTTAAATTATTTCATATTTTTTAAAAAAATAGAGAAAAAATCACATACTTTTATTTGATGATAAAAACAATGTTATCACTAATAATGCATTGGAATACGGTAAAGATAAAATTAGAAATTATTGTAAAAAATATATTGAAAATGTAAAAATGATAAATATTTTGAAACATGGAAAATAACCTAAAATTACAAATATATTGAAATGGAGGGAATATTATTTTTATTTAATAACTCATAACCCATAATTTGTTATTTATTTCGATTTTTTCTCTATTTATTGATTGCCCGGGGAGGGAGGGCCGCTCCCAATGCTTATGCACACTCTAAGCAGGTGGTCAAAATGCATTCAATATACATAATCAATAAAATTAATTTCTTTCGGAAAGTTCCGGAAAAAAGGAAAAGGGCAAATTTAAAAGGAGACAAATAAAATAAAATAAAATATTAAGTTATTGTTTATGATTAAAAAAATCAGTAATAAACTTGTGTTGTTTTAATTCGAATATATATATTATCCATATCCCAAAAAAATGTGAATTTGAATAATAAATAAATATATATACGTGTGTGTGTGCGTGATTGATGATTTTTTTAAAGGATTTAACTATATATATATATGTATATGTGTGTGTGTGTAATATTACATTTTTTATTTATAAAAAAAATTCTATAGATCTATCATCCGAAGGTGGGACACGATTAGGTTCGTTTTTATTTTATTTTATTTTTTGTCAACAAAAGAGAAAAAAACTCTTTGTTGTGCAATTGATTATCCTATACTTTGTCTTTTCTTGCTTTTGCCGTATTCGCGCATTTATAAATTCTGGCAGGCGGTCCCAACTTGGAAATTAATATGTATATGTTTTACAATTATTATATATATATATATTATGTATATATATATATGTGTGTATGTAGTTTCACGTATAAGATGAAACATATCTTATTTCAATTTACGTAGTGAATGGGAAGATTTTAAAAGATTATTTAAATCGGAGGCACGTGTATTGAAAACTTTAGTATAATTGTTATTTTCCTCGTTGGAATTGCATAGAATATTCATATCCACAAAAAAAAATTATACGATTCTTGTTATTGTAAATAATTTATCAATCGGGAATCATATCTTTCGGGCCGGTCCAAAACATAAAGATACAACCCTTGAATTTTTCGTCGCTTACCTACAAAAACATACTGTTTAAGCTTTGTTTTGTTTGAATGCTCGATTATGAGACTTTGTAAAATATTTATTTATTTATACGATTCACCTTTTATAAATAAAAAAAATCATACTTATATTTACAAACCATTAATTAATATATATATATATATATATGTATAACAATTTATTCATAGTCCCATCTTGGGTTAACCATTACAAAAAAAAATATTCATTCATTTAAAAAAATTATATATATTAATTATACGATTCACCTTTTATAAAAAAGCATACTTATATTTACCATTTTATATATATATATATATATATAACAATTTATTCATAGTCCCATCTTGGGTTAATCATTACAAAAAAAAAATTATTCATTCATTAAAAAAAATGGAAACTACGTTCCTGAGATTTGTTTTTTAACAAAGAAAGAAAAAAATAATTAGGATAGATTTGTATAGAAGAAGCATTAAATTAGACCATTAATTATATATTAAATTAGACCCATAAACTGGAAGCTACGGAACTGAGCTTCTTCTTAGTCTCCTCGGCCATGTTCTTCAGTGAAGATATGTCTTGTTGTGCCTACGACCAGACATTAACACGTATATGGATTAAGCGTATATTAACAAGCCATTAACGACCAAACCCGCCATTTTTTTGCATGATTAAGCAAGTTTTTAAAATATCGATTTATGGTTATACTGAAATATCTCGTGATCTGATGTATCCAAGACGATATACTATACTACATACTATACTATGCTATACGGTACGGTACGGTAATGGAATGGGTTGGGAATTTGAACCTGGAGAGACAAACGGTTGATGAGGTCAGCAGGGGTGATATCAAGAGAGTAATCTTTGTCATCGTGCCCGAAAAGATCAGCACTTGATATTGCTGATGAACCCTAAATGTGTAATGAAAATGTGATTTACTACAATGCGTTAACAATCAATATATCATTGATATATATATATATAACCATGGAATCGGAATGTGTAAAAGGACCAAGAGACCGTACGGAGAACTTTTGTAATGTGCTTTTGGCCTGCAGATCGGCGGCATTGCTCTGATTGCCGAAAAACTGAGCCGACGATATCGATTTCGCGTTCGAGAATTTCTTCCTCGCCTCGTCCGTCTCTTGAATCTACAGAGTAGAGGAAATGTATAGGACATATGGTAATATACAATAAAATCTTTCAATATTGTTGGTCCAGAGAAACAAGAGTGGGCGGCTCACTTGTGGTTTTGATGATCTTGTGCTTGATTTCTTCTGAAACCCATCGTCATCATCATCCACCCCAAATTCCTCAAAAAGGCTTGCTGATTTTGGTGGAGCTACATGACTAAGCGTTTGTTGGCTCCTCATGCTTTGAACATTGTCCACGTAATCGAACCGAGTGGAAAATGATGACCTAGCCGATGGTGAACTGTTAGCTGGGGAAGTCACGGGCACGATGGATTCTTCCGGCTTTTGATCGTAAAGATTCTCACTTGCCTGATTTTTTCATAAAGGGTATCCATCAATTAGTTCCATTTTCACTAAACTGTCCAAAATCATCATATAGGGAAAAGAGATTGACCTTGTTAGTAAGCTTTCGAGCGCCGAGTCCTCCGGTCTTGCCTGCCCTCTTCGCGCCAAGTGGTTTCTTGACGCTACTGACAAGATTGGTACGAGAAGAAGCTCTTGGTGAGGAAGTGACTTCTGGTTTTTCTTGCTGCTTCAAAGGGCTTCCTCTAGGCGATTCATCAGTGGCTTTGATGCAAGGAAACCCATTGGTTGAATGTGCGGAATGAGAAGCAACGGGCAATGATGGAAAATCCAGTTCCTCGGCCATGGTTTTAGTGACTTCTTTGGCGAGATTCTGCTTATATAACTCGGCAGTTCTCGATGTGTACTTAGCCTCGGTCTTGCCTCCATCGCTCCATCCATGTTGCTTGAAGAAGACGTGTGCCCTGTTGTTCCCTCCATAAACCATCATTCTCAGCTGTTCGGGACTCCACGAGTCTAAATTTGTAGACCTAAATAGAAAAAGAATGAATCACCTTAAGATTCTCTCTGGTCTCTGCATACTTCGAGGTCGAAACCAGTCCAAGAAAGTAATCGAAACTCGCCATAGAACGTTAAACCAAATCGTGCAAATCTCTATCACGAGTACAAGCTTTTGATGCCTTTCTGATAAGCCAATATAAACTTCAATCTGGTTCGAATCCTCTTACTGAATCGCCTTCAACCTTTTTTTTTTTAATTTGAAGGCTTGTATAGATGGTCTCTGCCCAATGTTCGTATAAGAATTTCAAAACAAGCTATAGAAATTCCATGACAGCTACAAATCCACAGAGATGAGAAATGCGAAACGCAAGGAACAGAAATCGCCCGCGGTTCAATTTCTTCATTCAAATTGGATCAAAATCAACTCTAGAATCGAAAGGGAAATTAGCTAATTGGCCAAACACGAAACAATCGGAGTCCAAACACGAAATGTGTCGCCGTTAGAAATCACCTGACGAAGCTGATGTGAACGCCGAGGCCCCGATGAACGGCGGAGCAATCGATGCAGAGGAAGATCCCATAAGTAACCGATGCCCAGGTCGGGTTCTTCGCATTACAATCGAAGCAGACCTGAACAACACAATGGCCATGAATCCGAAATTCCTAATCCGAAACCAAAGGTTCTGTTCGCAGATCTTCGAGATCTGAATCCGATCTCAGATCGCATGCCGAAAAAAACCTCTGGGAAACAGAAATTGCATGTTAAACAGAGCAGCATTACCTTGTTATCCGATTTCGATTTCAGCTTCTTGAAGACAGCGACCTTGTCATTCAGATTCTCGGACGCCATTTCAGAGGAAATGAAGAACTCCAAAGATATGGAATTTGAATCGGAGGAAAGGAAAACGGTAAGATTTTGAAATTTTTAAAAAAAGAGAGATGAATTTCGAAATTCACGCACGGAATCGAGGGCCTTTATATCAGGTGCGTGGAACTCGGATCGTAATGACGAAAATGCCCTTCATCCGTCGGATTTTACAGGAAATGCCCAAAATACCCCCATACTTCGCGCGCTCGGCAATCCATCGGAGTTTTTCAAGTTAACGGTAATGGAAGTTCGTTGAAGGAAATTCACAAACTCCTTTCTATCAAAATCAGATATTAATAATAAAAATCTTTTTGCGCCATCGATATTTTAGGTAATTATATTCAATTATGTTATTTAACGGACCAATTAATGAAAATATCATTTTCTGTAAAATAAACTTTGGCATGATCTTATAACCCAAAGAGTAACATATTTATTTATTTATTTATTTATTTATTTTTGCATGGAGTACAAAACGCACAAACAGAAATAACAGTGTACAACGATGTGATCATTTTACGAATGATTCACTTATTACAAAAAAAAAAAGTTGACTATAAAGTTGCATGCAAAAATAAAACAGACTTTCCGTCATTTCTTATTCCTGTTTTCGATAACCATGCCATGCATAGGTTATACGAATATTTGCACCGCCACTTCCGCCACCGCTTCCGCTGCCATATCCTTCACCGGAGCCGCTGCCGCTGCCATAACCGCTTCCGCCGGCTCCTCCACCGCCACCACCACCGCGACCACCTCCTCCTCCACCGCCACTTCCGCCACCGCTTCCGCTGCCATATCCTTCACCGGAGCCGCTGCCGCTGCCATAACCGCTTCCGCCGGCTCCTCCACCGCCACCACCACCGCGACCACCTCCTCCTCCACCGCCACTTCCGCCACCGCTTCCGCTGCCATATCCTTCACCGGAGCCGCTGCCGCTGCCATAACCGCTTCCGCCGGCTCCTCCACCGCCACCACCACCGCGACCACCTCCTCCTCCACCGCCACTTCCGCCACCGCTTCCGCTGCCATATCCTTCACCGGAGCCGCTGCCGCTGCCATAACCGCTTCCGCCGGCTCCTCCACCGCCACCACCACCGCGACCACCTCCTCCTCCACCGCCACTTCCGCCACCGCTTCCGCTGCCATATCCTTCACCGGAGCCGCTGCCGCTGCCATAACCGCTTCCGCCGGCTCCTCCACCGCCACCACCACCACGACCACCTCCTCCTCCACCACCACTTCCGCCGCCGCTTCCGCTGCCGTACCCTTCACCGGAGCCGGAACCGCTGCCGTAACCGCTTCCGTCAGTTCCATAACCGCCTCCTCCTCCTCCACCACGTCCGCCTCCACCTCCTCCTCCAGTTCCACCACCGGCTCCTTCACCGTACCCACCGCCGCTTCCGTACCCGCCGCCAGAAGCTCCTCCCGCTCCATAACCGCCTCCTCCACCGCCACCTCTTCCACCTCCGCCTCCACCGCCTGCACCCCCGGATCCATACCCTTCACCGGAACCACTTCCTTCTCCACCGCCGTATCCACCAGCGCCTCCGCCGCCTCCGCTTCCACCTCCGCCTCCTCCACCACGTCCACCGCCTCCGGCTCCACCTCCGCCGTACCCTGAACCATAACCTTCACCGAAACCACTTCCACGGCCGCCACTCCCGCCGCCGGAACCACCACCGCCTCCGCCGCCACTTCCACCACCGCCTCCTCCGGCCACTTCGCCGCCCTTTTGTTCGTCGGTTTTCTCCGGCTCATCTGCAAGAAGGACTCTTGCTGCAGAGGACAACCCTAAACCCAACAAGAAACATAAAGCCAAAGCGAGAATCTTTCGACTTCTTCTCATTGCGAACTGATTTTTTTTTTTAATATATCTCTGTTTTTTTTTCTCTTCAAGGGATGGATTACAATGCAAAGCTACGTCGCGTATTTATAGTGATCCTCAACGTTAATCCCCATGCAAAAGTCTACGTGTAGGGTCGACCTAACTAAGGAGATAAAGATCCACGAGTTGACTCTCATTACTATTACGTAAAAATATTATAAAGTTGACTATATATGTTGAATTCTAACATATGGGCCGAATTATACAATAAATATACATAGTCCAAATTTTAATAAATAATCCTACATTTTCGATTTTGAATAACCATCTGGAAAAATTCTTCAAGAGGAATCAAACTAATTAATGATACAAGTGATTTTAATAAATTAGAGAGAGGCGTATAGTCCCGTGTTCTAATGAAATTAATGTGCGTAAAACTATAATGATATCGATCATAGTCTTATTATAGAGTAGGTCGATGGTCACTAGCAATGTTCTTGGTTATACCAGATATTAATTAAGTTAATATTTTTTTTGTTAATGGAAAATTAACAGTGAGAAATTACGAATGATTTAATCGAAACTAGGGGTTGGCACCTGCGTTTTTGGAGATATCCTTCATTTTTGGTTTTGTATTTGCGGGTTTTATAGAAATATTATCTCTATATTTAATTATCTCGCAACATCCGGATATCGGTCTAATCGATATCTGTGACTAAAAGATGGATACCCGCAAGTATCCATATTTGTATATACAATATTTATCAATCTAAAATTAAACCAAATATCCAATAAAATCATACGTATTTTGATCCAAAAATATCTTTAAAGTTTAAAAATTCTTAAAATATGATAATATATATAAATTCTTAAAAAGATTTTCAAATATACAAAATGATTTTGAAGTAGAAAGTAGAAAGAGTTAGAACGGCAATAGAAATATTATAAAATCTTAGGTATTTTGGTAAATAGTTTAGAAATATAAAGATGATTTTGTCTTTTTATATGTACATATATTCGCGGGTAATCCGTTCTCTAAATCTGTGAAATCCGAATCCGAACTCGTCATACGGACTTTTCACCTTCTAATACTCGTTTTCGTCTTCATTGAATACCGAATATCCATTTTTCGAATAACCAGAGATCGGATATCTACAAACCCGAGTCGAAATATTAAATAAGTTAATCAAAATGTGAAAGGGGGGATAGTGAGGGACAAAACACGAGTCATCCAAGACGGTAGACTTGATAGTTGATACCGTTGACTTGCCCGCATGCGAAAGTCATTAGGTTTGGACTATGACGTGGATTTTTTTTCCATGTACATGCACATATTATTTCCGACAGTCCACTTTGTAAAACATTTTTAAAAATGAAATAAACATGATCTCAAACGAGTAAATAGTATAGTATGTACGATTAATGTACGTGTTCAGGTTAAAAAAAAATGTTACGTTATAAACATGAATTTTGAATTTTATAGAACTTTCGCATAATCGTTTATGTAAATATATAAATTTCTTTAACCAAAAAAAAAATATAAATTTCGAGCGGTTTAGCCATTGGTTTTGAATCATTATAAAACAAAAATTTCCGCCTAATTGTTGTCGGACCTTTTATTTCCCCATAATCTTTTGACTATTGGCGTCATGATATACAAATAACATATAGAAAATCATAAATTCATCTTTAACCGCGTGGTAATTAATATTGTATTGGATTTTCATTTATATAATCCAATTACCTCCTCTGCGATACGGTGGAACTATATATAATCATATAGTGTATGGAACCTCAACATGCTTAAAAATTGTAAGAATATTATTTTAATACTCATAAAAAGGTTATCAAAATTTCAATATTCTTAATGCTATTTAAATATTTTCGGATACCTAATCCCAAAATTGTAAAACCCAAATCGAATATCTAAATAATCACAATTTCCAAATGAAAATTCCAATCCAAATTACTTTTGAATCGGATATTTTTACCACAACTCATGCATTTGGCTTCACGTATAGCAAGTGGTTATAGAGACGTCGACTGTCATGTCTAGTCAGGATACGATAAGATTATAAAATATGGATGAGTACTCCTTTTCTTTATATATTTATAAATATATATATATATATATACAAGGTTTATTTCACAAATCTTGATATATATATACATATAAACATAATATAGAATAATTCTAATCCCACTAAAAACTATATAAACTAGTATTATGACACTAACACTAATCCTATTAGGGATATACACATACATATATATATATATATATAAGCAATGATTCAACTCCAAAATCATAAATACCCAATATGTCTAATGACTTTCCCCGAATTTGGAAATTTTCGTCATGTTTATATACACACAATATCCAATCCGTCCATTGAGCTGACATTGCCGTGGGCTATACAAAATTAGAGAATAACATAGTCTAATAACTAACTATTAGAACATTGTTCTCGAACCATGTTTTCTATATAAGTATTTAACCTCGTATATAAAAAATTAGCTATTTTAAATTGGCTTTTTTAAAAAAAATATATATATTCACGACTGATTATAAAATACCACCACCTACCATATACTATATATCTAAAAAAGTATATATATCTTTGTCCAGAGAAAACCCTAAAAATTCTTAAACTTGTAATTTGAAGTAATATTAATTTCTAAACTTGTAGAGGTATTTGTAAAATTGAACACGTTAAATCCTAAACTTGTTAAACGGTTCCATAACCGTCCATAGCGTTATTTGGTCAAAAAAACGAGATGACCGATCCGACGTGGCGTGACGTGGCGAGCCAACTCAGAAAATTACCGTCACGTCATGCGCCACGTCGAATCGGTCAACTCGTTTTTTTGACCAAATAACGTTATGGACGATTATGGAACCGTTTAACAAGTTTAAGATTTAATTAACATGTTCAATTTTGCAAGTTTGGAAATTAAAGGCACATCTACAAGTTTATAAATTAATATTACTTCAAATTACAAGTTCATAAATTTTTAAGGTTTTTTCCATCTTTGTCTCGTGATCTTAAACTCCTCCTCCGGCGCCGGAGCCGCCACCGGCCACATTTCCTCCGGCGGATAACCCGCCGGCATCCTCGACATGGTTAAGGTTGGCGACAGAGCCACCACTTCCGACAGAAGTATTAGTCGTACCACCACCGGCTCCTCCTTTCATTCCCCGACCAACTTCGCCGGCTTTTTTACCTCCGGTGTCGTCATAACTAATATCTCTGGCAACGGAGCCGCCCGGAAGACCCATTGGCGGTGGGACTAACGCCGGAATTTACGCCGGCTATGCCTTTAACGTCGTCGGTTAGCCATGAAGAGTCGGAACCGCCTTTTATACCTCGGGCGACGGTGAAGCGAAGGGATCTTCTTGCAGAACATAACCCTAAACATAGGAAGAGACATAGGGCTGAGGATAACAATTTCGGATTTGCCATTGAGAGTTTATTTAGTTTTTAAAAGTAAAAATAAAAATAAAAATAAAAATCGGTTTGATACGAATTTTCTATTCATGCATGCATGCATATGAAGATGTGCGATTATTTATATGGCCATGCAATGCAAAATGACCGCTTTTGGTGGTTTATCCGTTCAAATTTCGTGGTTGAAACCAACATTCCATGATTATTAATGGTTAATAAATAATTAAACTAAGAGTTAGAGCTTAAGGTTGCATCCAAATTTTACGCCTTTTCGAACATTTCATTTATTAATGGATGATAAATAATAAATAATATAATCAATTGATCCTCTATTTGAGTTTCAAAATTATTTAGATTGTTTCTTCATGCATGGATGGTACGTGCGTGCATGTACCAGCTACCACATGCAAATATATGAGTTTATATAACAGGAACATTAATTCATTCCATATACCATTATAAAAGCACGAAGCTTCTTACAGTATTAGTACGCAATTTTTAGACATAAACAGCCATTTTTTTTCGGCTTATTTTCTTCCCCGGATTAGTTATATATAGCAACACAATCATTATATATATCTTAAAGACGGTCCATGCACTCGTACGTCGCCTCGTGGTACGTGTGTGTATATGGATCCATTTATGATCTCATGGTGCATAACCACCACCTCCTCCACTGCCGCTGCCAGCTCCTCCGCCATAGCCGGCACCGTGAGCAGCTCCGGCACCGTAGCCTCCACCGCCTCCTCCCCCGGATCCGCTACCAC